TACCCCAGTTTATTTCTAAAGTCAGGGGAGCTCTTGAAGAAAGGAGTTGGCTAATGAATGGGCTTGTTGCACATCCAGATGCAGGCATGCCGACGTATGCGGAGAAACTGCCTCTTGAGGTACTGACTGGGCGAGAAGAAAGTGGCCCCTGGCATGTCCAAAGAAGATAGACTCCCACTACCTTTAGGATTTAGGATTGTCTGGACCCCAAAAGTATGTAAGATGATTGCCTTTATGGCTGTTATTCTGAGTTTAGGGCTATTATTTTACATACCTTTGGGGTTTAGGTACGGGTTTAGGGTTTACGGATCCCCGTCACTTCTTCTCGCCAGCGCTTCACTACCTCAAATCCCCTCCCATCTGATGCTGCGATGTCGTTGAGATGTACATGTCGCAGTCTTCGTGACACTTTGCACGGACATCGGCTTCCCACTCCCCGGATTCCATTTTATGTTACATGTTCTTTTCCATGTGCGCGCGTGCTTTTGTTTACATGTTCAAAACTGCGTTGATCTTGGGCTTTCAAGGGATACCTATCAATTTTATCGATCCAATGCAATGCTGGACGTGCAAACAAACATTTATTTCTGGGCGTACTTCCGTTTTCGAGATGCTGAAGGGGGTCATATAAGGGCCCCTTGGGGGTGTATAATCATCGGGTTATATACGTTCTACAAAGGGCATATGGGGTACCTACGTGTTATATTGGGTTTCTGGTCAATGCCACGTCAGTAATCTCCCTGAAGTTGGGTTACTCTGCATAAGTTTGGAGAACCTCTATGAAGAAGCCAGAACACTTACCAATCTGATGTTGAGGTCAGTTTGAGGTACCCTATACCAGAAATTCACACGTAATCTGGAAGCATCATACCCTAACCCTAAACCCTAAACCCTAGGCCCTAAACCCTATACCCTAAACCCTACACCCTAAACCCTAAAACCTAAAACCCAGGCTGCTACATTAGTCGCCGGGCCGCTTCAGAAAACGATCTCACGCCATCCGCACGCCATGCAGCGGTGTACAAGCGCGGAGTCGACGGTGGCCTACACGGCTTAGGGTTTAGGGAGTCGACAGTGGCTTGCTGTTCGGGGTTTAGGGCTAGGCTCAACTTGAAAGGTCAGGTTTGGAGCTAAGGGGGACGTAGCAACTAAGAAGATTAATCATGGGCCCGGATACTTGCTACATGTAAGTCGCCTGGTCCTCCAAGTATGGCTTCGGGACCCCGCAGCGCCGCAGGGTTCCGAGTGATCAAACATCGGCCTTGAAGATTTTTGTTGACTGAATAATTGCAGCGCTTCCCGAACCTTGACGCAGTGTGCTGTTTTGGTGCAACTTTGGAATAGAATCAATGAACCGTTGGGTGGAAACTACCGGCGGGTACCCTGGGGGGCCCAGGAAGCATAGAAGGGCTGCATAAGGCTAAAACTTTGGGAACCTACCTACCTGGGATTTCTGCAGATGCAAGGGTTAGGGTTTTGGGGTTGAGGCTTTTATATGGACATTTTAGCAGTATGCACTTTGTCTGCTAAGAGCCGTAGGACTCGGAGACTCGGGCTAGTTCTATCCCAGTCGAAACTGTGCCTAGAATCCAATTACATCTCAGCATGTTAGAGGAATCAGGGGGGGTTATGAATAGGTTTAATTATTTTGAACCTCCGTGTATTGCTTGACCTGTTGCGAAAAGTAAGTCTTCTGGGCAGCTTCCCCTGCCTTGTCCACCATAACTGCATGCTGGAGGCCAAAAATCATAACCAGAAGAAGAGTACGAATAGTAAACCATGATATGGCGCTTTCTCGAAATTATCAAGGTATTATGTGTATGGTTCTTGACGGGAGAATCTCATATTTCTCATACAGTCTCTGCATACGTTGAAGGTATATAGGGATTCAAAGAGATACATTGGGCCCCTTCACCCGGAGCTGGGTGGTTGTCAAAATGATGGTCCCTTTTTGGATCCTATTATAATACGGCACCTAATATTTAGGGTACCCAAAAGAGGGACCATACTTTTGACAACCACCCAGCTGCTAAAAGATGCTTTGAACAACTGCAGCGTGCTGTCCTGGACTAAGACTTTTCAAAAGCTCTTGAAGGATGGAATGGTACAAGACTTGTGGTTTAGGGTTTAAGGGTTTA